TATTACGACCAAATTACTGTTTATTTGCTGCTCAGCCCACTGGTGACCCGGCTTCGTTCGCCTTTTCTCCTTTCTTTCAAAGCAAAAAACTTCACCGCGCTCCCCGACTTGTCCATCAAAGTTCTTTTTAATGCTTCCGCATAACGTCCAATGACCGCAGATGAATATTCGGCCATTTGGTTCAGTGGAAGAAGTTATCAAAACACGAGAAAAAAAAAACCTGATACATATTTTTCAGAACTTCTCGTTATCTTCTCCACTAATTTTGCCTTGCTATCAAACTGTCTGTTTCTAATAAATGCTGCGATGATTCGTTCGGCCTCTGTGTCGCATTTCTTCTAAAAAGCGTTCAAATTGTTAAATCCTATTTTAAAACATACCACCCACTTCCTCATTCATATGCAAATTTCTTGCCTTAATTTCTTTTTGCATATTGGACGCTCCCAAGTGTACTAAAAGCTATTTTCTGCGAAAACTTAAACCGCACATTAGCGAAGAAAAGGGTCATATGTGGCTGACCACTGCAGGACACTTCTAGATAACTTTACAGACAAAAAAGACCGGTACCCCTGATGTTTTACAATCGTTGATGTGCAGGTATATCTCCTTCTACGGGTAAAAGCTGTTACGAAGACACAGAAAGAACACTTATTTAAGTCACACGGACGGCACAGTGAATGAGGTACATGCAATAACTCCTGAAAAAGCAAGCAAATAGAGAAAGCCTACTGCCAGCACAAAGATATTCCATTAAAAAACTGCGGAAAGTTGGCATATTCAATGAACTAGGCAAGAACAGTCTACGTCTGAAACAGTGCCCTTCCTGGTTTCTCCTAATAAATAGCCTGTTATCTTGTAAAATAGACTGCAAACCTGCTGTTTACAAACATTTTAAGGTGATTTACAAATTTCTAAACCAGTCTTCACTCCAAAAATTTTTGAAAAACCGTTAACACTGAAGTGCAGCAAGTCGGTAAGCATAACCTGCACACTGCTTTATCAGTACAACAATAAAGGATCAAAACATGACTTCAGGTGGACCACCATCTGCTTCACGCCAAATCGTTTGCGAAAAGTCAACATTTTTAGAAAACCATATTTTTTCTTTAATGAATGATTGTTTGATCACTTTAAACTACAAAAACGTATTTGTTGTTTCTTAAATTCAACCTCAATGAAAGCAAAAATTGGTCGCATCCAGTATGCATAAACTGCTTAATTTTGATAAAATCATACGAACCTGCAAAATTTCAATCAGTGATAGGAGCTTGTCAGGGCCGTATGAAGAATCGATCAGTGGCTCGTACACTTGTATTTCACGCGCTATTCCTAAAAGTTAAGAAATGTGTGCGACTTTCTGTTGGTGTAATAGAAAAATATTTTAAAGTTGGAAGAAAACAAAAGCAAATAGTACTAAGAAATTAATAAAAGTAGTAAAATATCTCAATAAAATTATTATAACGGTAAGAAAATGAGAAAGTTAGCTATACAAAGTTTTAACAAATCGCTGAGAATACCTTCGAAAAGCATCGTTAGCGAATCGGCATAAAGCACACTTACGCGCTTGTCATCTGAGCCACCAGCCTGCATCACCTTTAAATAAATTTCATTTTTCCGCAGGTATGCCAATTGCAAAGAAATTAAAAGACAATAATTGTATGCCGAAGAGTTTTTTCCACCTTCAGAGTACTGATAAAATGACCTTGTAATTTCGCTCTGCGAGTTTGCTGATTTCTGCACAAAGATAATCACCGAATCGCTTGATACCATTGGCATGCTCATTCAGAAGTGGAAACAATTTAAAAAATCTCTGGATTGATGCGACATCGTTACTTTCAACTGCCTAAATGAACCAAATTTCGAAAATCACAAACCGACCAACAAGGAAAAGTTGCAAACAATAGCTTCCCTTTACAATTAGTGAATAAGTTTTAAGAAAATAGATTGAGCAGGAGGATTCAAACTTCAATAACGGCAGTTCCTGCTAGTTAGATTCTCATGAGTCAGATTTTTGTCACTGGGCATAGATTCGCAAAACGAACTGAAAGTACTAAAGAAATACCTGGTCAAAGCGTTTCTCAACTATCGATTTCATTTCGGTAGCTGCTTCACGCAGAATTTCATAACTTCGCCCCATCGACTGCCCAGTATCTGAGAAAAAAATTATCTGGCTATTTATGAACTCAAACTTTGAAGGCTATGTTAGAATGTAGATAAAGCCGCTCGATTATTCACTGTTTTTGACAGAAGAAGGCCTATGCCAACAGCGATCCTCTTCTCACTGGTAAGGTTTTCGACGGCTTCTTCACTCACAATTTGCGCAGAAGAAAACTAAAGTCGGCTCCCTGGCCCACAGCAATATCAATTTAACATCGAAACAGATGAAGAGACTGGAAAGAGCAGTGATGGAGTGGAACTCTTCGCCCTAAGAACGGAAATTTTAACGTCTGTCACTGTGCCATGCCCAGCGGCAAGTGCACAGAAAAGGTACAATTAAGAGGGTTGAAAAACCCATAAAGTTTAAGCACCGAGATAAACTTGCAGTTTTGCTAATTCCGTGCATGCTAACCTTTTGCCTCAGTCTGTTCGCCCATTTGAAAAACAGCCGTGTCCAGGGTCAAAAATTTGTGAATATGTCTAGCAGCTAACTCGTAGTCTTCCTGCTCCATAGCAACGCTAACGCCATCAGCACATGTACGCAAATCCATGAGGTCGCTGACCCGTTGCAAACATTCAACCACTCGACCTTTTGCCACATCCAGCGCCGAAACCTGTAATAAAGTTCATAAGAAAATAGTGATTTTTATCTTCAAAATTCTATTTGTGCCAATGTGCCGGAAGCAAAGAACCAGAAATTTACTATATTGCTATTTACATTTTCAGGGCATTACCTTCCCAACACCAGCGAAAAGAAATTTTTGTCGTGGCGGATGCACCACATCAATGAAACGAAATAGATGCTGTTTTCCCTCGGAGTATGAAGAAGAACTGTTAAGGTAAGAATATCATTTGTTAATAAAAATTATGTTCAGGAAAGCGAAGGCAAAAAATTTTGGAAAACAATATAACAAAAAAAAAAACATACACACACAAAGGAAGAGAAAAAAGTGAGGGTCACCTTGCTGGATATATTATCGGCCAGA